CTATTTATTGAAAACCGAAAATAACAATACATTTCTGGTGCTGAACTTATTGATTTAACAATGAATCACAAAAAATACATCGAAACAGATTTGACTGAGAACATGGATTACACAGTTTTGTTGTATCTTGAGCAGAAAGTCTATGCTACAAATGAAATTCACGTCCAGAGTTGTAAGACATGATTGAACATCACAAGAATGACCTAAGAGCTGATCCTCAACTGTTAAGAAGAACAATACATTCTTAAGAAAAAAATATAGAATCGTTTTTTCTTCGAAACGTAGGACCTTTTGAACACTTATTTTGCAGAGTTCTACCTACCCTAGCAAGGGGGTTAGGTTTTTTGAAACGCCCTGTATACTTGCCAGATGCTTCAGTACCAATAAAAATATCCTAGTATTCCTAATAATAATGAAGATTTTATTTAATCCCAAATTATTTTGTGGCACGGGCAACAGTGTAATGCCTAAGTTCCCAGAAATACAAAAAAATATATAGGGATTCCCTTTCGTGCGCTCCATGCGATAAAAAAACTACATTGTCAACCTAACTTCCTGACGTTAACATCGGCTGTTACCTTCATCGTCAAATCTTTGTTTTATCTAGTCAAGATGCAAATATTCAAAGACACTGGATAATCCTCATACAAATTTTGATTCTTTTAGTTGTGTGTTGTGTTCTCTGTTACCTGCAGTGAGTATTCAATCCAGAAAGTTCATTCCATATTCTGATTGAAATGACAATCAACAATATTCTTACACTTTTATATCAGAAATAGAGAATTGATACGTAAGTCTTATCATATACAGGGTGACATTTTGAAAACTTCCCACCCTCAATATCTTCCTTCCAGTAAATTATATGAAAAATAGAGAAGTCAGGTCAATTTTATTTTCAAGGGGGACACTTGAAATAAATATTTTTAGCCCTCTTGGTTCAACCCCCTAGGAGGGGAAGATGTTACCCTTAGAGGGGGCCAGGTAGCCGTGCGGACAGAGTGTCTATATTCTAATCCGCAATCGCTCGCCGGTCGTGGGTTCGATTCCCATCGACTGCAGACATTTTTCTGATGGCCCAAGAAAGTGTTTGGGATCACACGTTAAAAGGTGAGGCCCCCGTCATTCCTTGCTCGCACAAGACTCTCGAAGACTTCTGAGGGTTGCTCGTAAGGGGGCAACCGAATGACGGATAGAACAATTTTAGAACAATTTTTTTTTCAGAATCTCAAATGTGAAGGGGGTCAAGTGGCACATCATTTTGAAGGGTGTTCTATTCTCTTTCCAACAGTACACTTGTTTATGATTTTATGATGAACAGTTTCGGAAAAATGCCGTTCTAAACTTACAGTAGTAATTGGAACATGCCTCCTGCACTGACATGTATTCAAAATCTTCCTACCATTTGGACTGAAAGGGTCAATACAATGATACCAACCTGAAAACCATGCATATAAGTCGAGATATCAGTGCAGGCATGTTCTAATTACTTCTGTAAGTTTAGATCGGCATTTTTCGGAAACTGTTCATCAAAAAATGGAAATCTAGGGTATAGTTGAGAAGAGACTCGAACGCCCTTCAAAATGATGTGCATCTTGACTTCCCTTTTCGTATTAGGTTCCAAGGGTAACATCTACCCCTCCAAAGGGGTTGAACTGAGAAGGCTAAAAATATTATTCGATTTTTGTTCCGTTTTTTTCTGTTTCTTTTATCATAGGTAACATTTTTCATTTTAATATAATTTCTGTTCTTGAACATGTGAGTTAATATTGTATTGTATGTTCAGTAGGAAATGAATGATTTTTTCCATGAAGACTAATAAAATTTCAATTTTTGAATAACTTTCAATTATTTTCCATGACTCTTATCCCCATCCTAGAATTCCATGACCTAATTGAGACTGAACCAAAGCAAAATATTTCCAAACTAGGTATGCGAATACTTAGTACTAAAGATTGAATTTAGGAATGAAATTTTTTTTTCTAAACATAATATACATGAATATACCATATTGAGATTATTATTAATGAACTCTGATTAATGGAACACCATATTATATTTAAAACTTTTGTAGAAGTTCATAATATCACAAAGTGGAATGGAAATATGGAATAATAAGAAAGTAAAAAGTAAACACCACAACATTCAATGAATCTATTACAATTGATTCATAGATAAATGTTGGTGGTCAAGAAATGCCGCTTTATGGATCTCAGCCTATTAGAAATCTAACTCGATTCCAGAAAAATCACACATCAAAAAACATTACAAGTTAAAAGATTTCAGTAGTTTTATATTGAAAAAACTATGGGTTTTATTTCAAGAGGAACATCCTGTACATTTTGCACTTATTCGGTTCGCTGAAATGGTAAACAAAAATTAGCTATCGAATCGATGACATCGTGCGAAGATAACACCGCATGATTACCGACAAAATGTTAATTAATGAAGATTGTTTAGCCACTTTGATAAGTTGGTCGTTAATAATTAATTAATTTTATCCCTAGATTCTTGAATTGCAACTTCCATGATTGAAAAAATAGGTAAATCACGCGTAGTCGATGGGTTTTTAGTTAAGAATAGCGGTTTGCTGATAATTCTTCTGCAAAGAAATAGCAAATTTGTGAGGAATGTCTGAAATATTTTCGGAATAAATTATAAATAAGTTATCGTTAAAAATTATGTCCCTTGAAATATATCATATACTTCTCTATCATGAATCACAGTTAGAGTTATGCCGTTGTTAAACACGAATTATTACATGTCGTCTATTTATTCATAAAAATAAATCAATAATCCTAGTTCATTTACATCATCAGATCATAGCATCACTGATAAACTAGATAGGCCCGATCTTTATTCAATGTCTGACCGACTGTCCTTGAACTATGAGACGATTTGAAAATATAAAAACACATACATTACAATACTGTCATGGAATTATTCATGATGAATTGCTGAATGAGAGGTAATTATAATAATCGATTTCTACTTTGTTTTCAATCAGAAACCATATATTTACAAAGGAAGTGTACCATTCTACTGATACTTAACCCCCACAACCCCAATCACCACCACCCCTATCACCAGGACCAATACAGTGAAAAATCAATTCATGAAAGAAACATACTTTTCAAATACCTACCTATTGTGAAGTAATTCCAAAACTAGACTTAGATCACATCCTTATGATTGTGAAAGACATCAAGGGTTAATTAGTATAATATCACTTTGAATTTGACGCATGTTGTGACCCACACATATTATCAAAATATCAAACTACTTATTTTCTATATAAAAATGTTTTTTCTATGCTCACAGCTCTTACTCCAAATGAAAAATGTGTTGATTGTGTGATATATGTTCCATGTGATTGCTCTTTTCACTGTACCTATACATGCATTGGTTTCAAGTAAAAGCTACCCAATACCATATGTACATGCTTTATATCTGATAAAATCTGGTCATTAGATTCACACCACCAAAAAATATGGAATGATGCAGACGTGAACTTGAAGTATCGAATATACAGCATATCCATAAACCCAAAGGACAGTTGAATATCTTTTGAACCAATGAAAATTTTGAGAAATTCACGATATCATGTGGTATCACGGGAGCTTCATGAATTACTATGTTTGAGTTGAGTCAGAAAGGCTCAAGTAATCAGGATATATTTAAACTCATCTGGAATCCTCATCTCATCTCTTTAACAGTTTTTGGATTTTGGTAATTTAATGCGGGAGATTTTATGACATTATTTCAATACCCACCTCCTCTCCCTATCCTCCCTAGGTAGGCACGATGTTCTTCGAACATTATAGGGATTCCCATATACGTATTAATAATCAATACGGATAATCTCTATCTGTTTCCATAGCGAAACATGAAGCCGATTTTTGAAGACAAATGACTATCCATAAGGAACAGTTTTGAAACGATCAGACACATACTGCTTTGATTGAAAGGCTAGTAAACGTCATTGTCCACCGAAACGCATGTCTTTGATGACTACTATAATAGCACATGGCGCATGCGTATCATGCCACCAAATCCTTATGGATATTCATTTGTTTCATATTTTTGGCTTCATCCTGGCACCCGTTATGATCCGTATTGTTTATTAATACGTATATGGGGATTCCCTTTTTTTAAATAAATTTCTGCAATGAATGGATTAACATAGCAACACCGCATCTGATTCTCGAAAACAAAAAACATTAGTGTAGTAAACATTAGTAGCTCTCCTGATACTGTATGATACTGTATACAATTCATCATTTCCATTGCTTCCAGAAATATTTAAATGTCAGATTGGTCTAGGGAGAACCTGTATAGGTTCGGCAAAATATAATACAAACAATTATTGATCATAATAAAAGTACACTGAAGTAGCCCAAGAAAATGACAGGCTGGTGAACTACCAAGAATTAGTTCATCACTGAGATATCTTGAGTAAGGCATATGGGTCGTCTGTAAGACTGATAAAATCAAGACTTATTAAATTTTGATTTGAAGCTGACAGCAACAGTGTATGCATTATATCTTGTTTATAATAGCCTTGCGAATCCTGTAACCCCCTTCAAGCCATCTTTCATTTTAAAAGTGGAAACCCATATTTTTTGGCAGGGTTGAAAAAGTAATGATTTATAAAAGTAAAAAAAGTACGATGTGTATAATGATTTTCAGCCTTAGTAAATTCATTGCATTACCTCGGTAGGAACGAAAACTTCGATAATATACCAGGGACACCTGTTCTCAGTTTGGCTTGACTGACCGCAGTATATTTGTGTACAAAACCATTGTAATAAACTGTGAAAAAAATAGGTTTAGTGAATTCAGAGAATCTTTTTGGCGCTGGCTCTTAGACTATAGGTAAAAATGCGATTATTTCCGTTGGAGAAAGTTTGAATTAATTCACGACTCAATTCACATGAATTAATTCATGCCATCCCATATTTTTTGGTGACGATAATCGTTAAAAAGCGTCATTGTGCACATACTAGATCTCTTGGAGGACTGTAGGGGGCTCTCCTCCCCTTCTCCCAGCGCCACCTGGGACGAGTGATGGTCGGCGACTGCCAGCCGGCGGGCAACCGATGCCCGAAGTTCGTCCGATCTGTGCCCATTCACCAAACCCACTGCAACCAACATTACCCCATTTCGTTTGCACCAAAAAAACCACACAGAAAGGAAAAAATAAAAGAGAGACATTGAATACATACACACCTATGGTAGGTCCTTTTTCAATCAAAAATATACTTTATTGTCAAAGAAAGACATTTTTGTTGACAAAGCATGATAAATAAATAAATACAATAAATGAAGTGAAATGAAAAATTTCACAGTCAAGGTTGAGGTTGAACTCGTTGGAATACAGATACATAGACAATTTAAATGATCAATAATTGAAATAAATAAATAAATAAGTAAATTGTATAGACTCGTGTATAACATTAAGGTACATAAATTATTGACTGGATCCACATGCACTCATATTGAAATATATCTCTGTACAAGAACCAATAGTAGCTATACCCTGAGCGTGTTGCTATGCTACTTATTGAAAGAAAGACAGTACACAAATATTGAATTTATTTGGAGTCATTTTATTTATTATAGCTGCCCGGTGAACGTTGTTTTGCTATGTACAGGGTGATTCACCATAAATGCCCCCCCTCCTCTAGCTCAGTTATTTTTGAACCGATTTCAGAATTCAAAATATCATCTTGATTGATTTTCGATAAAGTATTTTTACTCTACATCAGAAAATACAGGATGCTCGGAACAAACGACAGGGTACTATTTGATTTTTTTAAATGGAACACCCTATTATTCATTGTAGTTTTAGGTTCTCCCTGAACAGCTGATTTGATTGATTTCAGAGATATAGGGTGTTCAAAATCGAGATTTTTCAACTTTAGGATTTTTTTGTGACGAATCTATTCATTATCGGTCAAAACGGCTTCCATGTCCGAATCTTCACTTTTGATTTACTATCTACTGACATTTAGGCGGCTCGGTGGTCGAGAGCGTGAAGGCGATGAGTTCGTATGGGGACTCCCACCGAGACATAGGTTCGAATCCTAGTTAGGCCATGGATGTTTGTGTTTGTATGTATACCTAACCCCGCACAAGTTTCGACTTATGGGGCGTTTGGTCCCAGGGCTGAGACCAACAAGGTATGCAATTGCAATTGCAAATAATTGGAACAGATATACATACTCTGTAAATGTTCCAATTAAATGTCAGTAGATAGTAAATCAAAAGTTGAGATAGGGGCATAGTAGCGGTTCTGACCAATAATGAATAGTTTCGACACAAAAAATCCTAAAGTTGATAAATGTCGATTTAGAACACCCTATATCTCTGTAATCATTCTCGCTAGACCCCAAGTGTGATGTATTGATGAAATCAGCTCTTCAGGGAGAATAAAAAAATACAATGAAATACAGGGTGTTCCATTTGAAAAAATCAAGTAGTACTCTGTAGATCGTTTGTTCCGAGCACCCTGTATTTTCTGATGAAAAGGGAAAATATTTCCTGAAAAATCATTTTAAATTATTTTTCAAATTTTTGAATCGGTTCAAAAATAAGTGAGCTAGAAGGGAGGGACATTTATGGTGAATGTACTTACATTATTTCTAGAAAATACTTTTTTCTACAAACGTCAAAAAATGACAAGGTTCGCGCATTGATAACAAATTGCGAAGTGACACTTTTTTCAGTTTCCTACGTTACCATGATACCTTGCACAAAACAATGCGCGAAGTAAAACAGTGCGCGAAGTACCTACTTCGCGCATTGTTACGTAAAATATATGAGATATTTATATTTCAACCTCATAGTCCTCAATCGAGCAAACATCCACGAAATCATTTATTTCTGGATGTTCAACAATAAATTTGTTCTATCTCTTGGAACGAACGAAAGGAAATTCCTATTTGGTATGCTCGTGGAACATTGTGCGTAACTAGGGAAAGGGGAAGGCCTTTTAAGCCAGTTCAACACTATTTTTTATGTCAAGCTAAGCATATTTTTACATTAGAACTATATTTTTTGACGTTCGTAGAAAAAATGTTGTTTGCAACTAGAGCGCGAAATACTTTGATCATCTCGACTATTTTTTTAACTCGGCTACGCCTCTTTAAAAAAATCAGATCTCGATCACCAAAGTAGCATTTCGCGCTCTAGATACAAAAATAACTATTTTCTACAAACGTCAAAAAATGACAAGGTTCGCGCATTGATAACAAATTGCGAAGTGACACTTTTTTTCAGTTTCCTACGTTACCATGATACCTTGCACATAACAATGCGCGAAGTAAAACAGTGCGCGAAGTACCTACTTCGCGCACTGTTATGTAAAATATATGAGATATTTATATTTCAACTTTGTGGTCCCCAATCGAGCAAACATTCACGAAATCATTCATTTCTGAATGTTCACCAATAGCTTTGTTTTATCTCTTGGATCGAACGAAAGAAAATCCCTATTATGCTCGTGGAACATCGTGCATACCGAGGAAGGATAGTGGGAGGCTTTTTAAGCCAGTTTAACACTATTTTCTATATCAAGCTAAGCATATTTTTACTAAAGAACTATATTTTTTGACGTTTGTAGAAAAAAATTTGTTTGCAACTCGAGCGCGAAATACTTTGGTCATCTCGACTATTTTTTTAACTCGGCTACGCCTCGTGAAAAAATCAGATCTCGATCACCAAAGTAGCATTTCGCGCTCTAGATACAAAAATAACTATTTCAGTTGAATATTCAACAACACACTTTCATCATTTTATTTTATACTTCTGTTCAGTTTGACTAACCATAAAAGCATGTTAACTTTGTCTCTCAAACTACTATTTATTTTCTACTTCTTTTTAGTTTTGCTATCGATGACAACTAATGAAGTTTTTCAAAACACTATTTATTACATAGCTCGTTCGACATATTGGATCCGCCATCTTGAATTTTTTAATTATGATGAAGGAATCATAATCCTCGACCCAAAAAACCCCCAGATACCAATTTTGAAAAGAATCGGATCATAATTTGAAAACTCAACTCAACTCCAAACATAAGATTTTCAGAAATGGTGAACATACACTGAAACATAAAACAAATCTCGTTGGAAAGTGCATTTCTTGAACTTTGTCACTTTCCACAATAGTTGAATTATACCACCTATTACTGGCATATTCAAGAAGAGTGATGAATGATTGAATCAAGATTTGAATTCAACGCTCAAAATCTCCTTCAGGAATAGAGATTATGCCATTTTCTATAGTAACTCTTCATCTCAAAAACAACTTATCTGCACGCATGTGTAGTTTGTAGCATTAAAAATGGGACAATCTGTATAAACCTGGTGATTCTCCAAGATGGCTCACCCCTATGACTTTTTTTACTTTTGGAGGTAGAAAAACGAAATTCGAAGGTTGTGTATTATAGTTCAATGTACATTTCATGACATATTTACTTGCTTTGTCGTACTTCCGGTTTGACCAGAAATTACCCCAATTATATATGGGAAATCCTAAATCCAATATATTTTCAATTATTTCGATCGGGAATGGCATCCAAGTTATTCGTATGGAAATGATCTTCCACAAAAACCGAAGAGCCACCTCTATTCCGTTCGAGATTCCCTACAATAAAAGTCAACTGGAAAATCCATATTTGTGACTTTCAAATAATTTTATCATGATCCAAAGTCGTATTTTCCTCATGTTACTTGAACAAGAATGAAGGGATTTACACGATTCATGGACATTCTAGATCTGAAATCTAAGAATAAAAATTGTAAAAATTGTTGTTGGATTTAGAATGTAATTCTCGATCGAAATATGTGATGATATATTGTAGGCCCAATCAGAAATCAAAAGTTGGAGTAATTTAAAGCCAATCTGGAAGTACGACAAAGCCAGTAAATATACAAAAAAAGTAAATTGGAATATACTATACAACCACCGAATTTCTTTTTTTATCTTCAATAATAAAAGTTATATGGGTGAGCTACCTTGAAGAATCACCCGGTATGTTGAATTTTTGCAAATCAAGTTTCTCTCAGCGGGGACTTGCGACTTTGCAACAACGCAACTATGATTTTTCTTGAATTCAAGTAGTCAATGTTATGTTATTGTATGAAATGTTCATTAGTGATTTATTGGTAAGGAAAATCAGTATCTACTCATTATACCTAATTACCATGTATATATGTATGCATTCAATGTCAAAATTAATGTCCATAAACAAAACATCTCCGAATACTATAACCAATAAAAAACGTGAAATTAAATGTATTAGTCATTTTATGGATATTCAGATGCGTCACTATAATATACATTATATACCATATTCAAAAAATTCCAGTTAGTAATTATTATTTACACCATGTCGTAAAAACAAAACATAATATTTATATTGAATATCAAATGATGCTCAAGCCAGGCATTCCACAACATACCGGGTGACACAGGGTATCGGGCCACCCCTGTAACTTCTGCATTCGTCAACGGATTTTTCTGAAATTTGGTACAGTTATGTAAGCAATTATTTCGGATTTGATCACATTAAAATCCAATATGGCGGACTTCCGGTATTTCTGGAAATGCCAGCAACTTTGTTTTTTCAAATGAAACACCCTGTATATTTTTACATATTCAAGTTCAACAGGTCGAAACAAGTGCAATCTTTATTTCAAATGTCAATTTTTCGAAAAAATTTAAATTAAAATTGTTTTTTCATTTTACCTCGTGGATAAATGAGATGTGGTCAATACTATTCACAATGAGTCACACATAACAGAAGAACATATTTTTTTCTGAAAAATGTTTTTTTGTGTCACTTATCCAGGAATCAATTCATCCACATCACTTTTTGATCAAAAATTATTTTTTTTCAAATGGAACCCCTATGGGCCACCTACTCGTCTCTCTAGAACATACATTAAGGAACAAAATGAAGTATCAGTTTTGTTTTTTGGTTCAGTAACAAATTGTATACATTCACAAATCAACAACTAGTTTATGAATTTCCTTGCAGTTAGAATAATTTTTCAATTAGGTAGGCTGTGGAATAAATGACATTTGACATCAAGAATGCACTTGTTTTGACCTGTTGAACTTGAATATGTAAAAATATACAGGGTGTTCTATTTGAAAAATCAAAGTTGCTGGCATTTCCAGAAAAACCAGAAGTCCGTCATAATGGATTTTAATGTAATCAAATCCGTAATGGTTGCTTATATAACTGTACCAAATTTCAGTAAAATCCGTTCACGAATGCAGAACTTACAGGGGTGGCCCGATAACCTGTGTCACCCTTTAGAAATATCAAATCCTGCCCAGTTATTTGAAAGAGAAACTATTACATGCAAAAAATACACAAGAGGACTAACATTTTCAATCTCACCAGATGGCGCTACTACCGCTTGAGGTCTATGTGAAATTGAAAATTTCCAAAGTTTTGCTGGACAGCCCTAAAGACTATGGCCAGTTTTCTTGGAAATCAATAATATAATACAAAAACTAAAGGTATGATTAGGCTACGGCTAAAACCTTCAATGTGGATCTTGATGCACACTTTCTACAAACAGTGATTTCTATGCCCATTGAGGTTGTGTTCAGCATCTTCCAATGAAATTGTGTACTGCAAGTATCCAAACATCTGAGATAACACGAGGACTCTACCTTGGAACGATCCGATACAAAAGTCTACACCTACCTTTCTATTGAATATTTTGTACTGCACTGTGGTGATAACAAATTCTAAAATAAGGGAGAAACTCGCCAAATTAAGTGTATGCCTTGCTGTCACATTCACTGATTGAATAACTATTCCCGATAGAAAAAAAACATTAAACACCACCTTACTGCAGTAATTGAAAGAAACCATTCTAGGTGAGATTATTTTTTATTTGACTGAAGTGTTGTATGTTAAATCGAAAATCATTTTATAATACATTTTAGTGATGATATTGAGAGTATAAAGATACATTGTATTTGAGTTAATGATTTATAGTACCTATACACATATTTAAAATAATGAAAGCTGATTTTTTAAATAGAAACCACAAAACATCAGATTAAACACCCAATAACCAAATCTCAAAATGGTTAGCATAGATAGATATCTACTTAGACAGTTGTATGAATAAATCACCTGAAATCAAGTTCTAGACCATGAGCACCAATATGCCTGACTGACATTCATTTCATGTATGGTTGCCATCACGATGCATCGTGATCTCACTAACTCCAAAGAAAGGAGCTGCGACTACCGGCACACTATTATGAATGGTGTTTATATCACAAGAGATGAGCGTTTCATATAGGGACTGTAAATACCATAATAAAAAGTAGTTTTGATTCTCCAAATAATATATAAAACTCTCATAACACCAGCCTGCATAGTATTCAAAGCACCAAAATTCATGTGAGTTACAGAACCAAAAAGAATACAACACAAAAGTATAAATCCGCAAAAGCCTGCACATTTATCAATACCTTGACATTCCTCTGCTCTATTCTCCGGTTCAGTTTGGAACAGTTCTCTCTCATAGTTGTGCATTTTGACTCCTGTGGAAAAAATTACAAAACCACGCTATTCACTCATAGTGCTAGCCAAACACCCAGATCCAGTAACTACCAAATAATACATGCTATAGACATGGTTTGGTTTGTGATGATAAATAAAGATGATGCTAATGACTGGTTCTTTTTTCTTCACAGACAGGCGGCAAGTCTAAATTTTCTTTTCACTTTCGCAATTTTTAAATTCAGAAAAGCTAGAAATTATCAAGGTCAAAATATCCTTTGCACCCCAATTTTGTTGAACATATTTAGTGTATATACACTAAACCGAGATACTAAATAATTATTCAATTTTCAAACAAATCAAATTGGATGCGACATAAATCATGCTTTGTAATCATTTGAACTATTTTCTAGTATATAAATTATCATCTATACATAGTTCAAATGGAAAAAAGTCGATGCTATCATATTTATAGGATACTATGTAATGAAATATTATTTAATTTTCAAACCATGATGTGCAAAAGATTAGAAAATGTACAAATCAATCAATCAATAGTTTGTTTTCAAAAGATTATATTCTACTAACTTATCTGCTGAAAATCGCTTCAGGGAATAAAAATATGAGTATACTTTCAAGAAATTACTATTAGTCATCAAGGAATAGCTTCCATGAAATAACCATTTTCATTTCTTATCACCATTAAAAATACGGCCAGTCCCATCAACAACTCAACTTTAATACATGAAGATTAATTGTTCATCAATCAGAAATGAATTATCAATGCAAAAATCGTCTTTGTATCTTGTTGATCAACATAGTTTTCAAGTAACGAATTAGTGTATTAATATTTATTTAGGTTTGTTATTTCAACTTACATATTCATCATAATATACAAATTTTGCATCACTCCTACTATGCCAAGAACAGTCGGCAAATTTTGACCGTCAGCTGATAACGAAATGAAATATATGTCCTCAAGGCATGTAATAACATTGTATTTTATCGAAAGGCATTAGGAAAGCGGCATCACCAACCATAAAATGGAATCTGATAGCATCAGCGTATGTTCGGGTTCTGAACTCCAATGTGAAAACAATATTCTAAAACGTGCCGGTTCTGTGCTTTGTGGATCATAAGGTGAGGAGGTGTAAAGTAGGTTTCCTCAGGGAATAAAAAGTCGAGTTTCTGTGTAGAAGCTTTTGCGATGGATCTGACATGATTTTCCATCTATTTGATGAAAAAATAATCTGAAAACCGATAAAATTGATTAATTTCTCAAGTAGATATGAAATCACGATTGCAGAGATAGTTTCTCTCATTGTGGATCAGCCAAATAGTCTCCCAAACCACGAATATTTCAACAACAAAAATTGGCTCTTTTTTTGAAGAGACCATTCTATCCATCATGTATAAATAATTTGTTATTTTTATTCTTGAAATATTGAGGTAACTTGACTATGACGAAAGTCAGTTACAGGTTAGGTCAGGGCGATCTAAACCAAATTGGAGGAATTCAAGGTCATCAACGTTGCGATGACGTATAGCGATGGGGGAAAACATTTCTAACTCCTGGCATTGATTGAAAGTCAGGCTCAGTTATCAGAGATTTTGGCTTTTCCGATGAAACGTGATTTTTTTTGTTCTCGTTCCCACGAAGAGCTATATCCTGTAATGTTCTCAGAACATCGTGAGAACCAAGGGAAATAAGGTAGGGATTGGTGTTCTTCTTGAATTTCTGGAGGTTATATGCCTCGGGGAACACCTCCCCTGGCAATGTGTTCCAGAGCCCCGCTGTTCGTTGGATGAACGAGTCTTTGGAAAGAGGTGTTCTGAAGGTCTCCAAAGTGACCACGAAGGGGTGAGAAGCTTCAACTCGACGGGTTGATCTCACGGGGACTGCCAAGGGAGGAAAAATTGTTGATATTTCAGAAGAGCATCGTCCATGAAAATATCTATAAAATAAAGCCAGATCGCCAACTTTTCTACAGTGTTCCAGAGAAGTGAGTGAGTTTCTGAGCGAGGCATCACCCACTAGACGAATTGCCCTTTTTTGGACAGAATCCAACAGTGTCAGGGTATGTTTGGGTGCTGCACTCAAAAAATGGGAATAGTATTCCAGGACAGGTCGGAACTGTGCCTTATAGATCATAAGCAGCTGATTGGAAGTGAAATAGCTCCTGGCCCGAAACAGAAAACCTAGTTGATGGGATGCACTTTTAGCAATTGATCTCATGTGATTTTCCCAAGAAAGGTTATTGCTGATAGTAATACCAAGCATCGAAATGGATGTCTTCATGTGATAATAATATTGGTTAATTCGAATTGGTTAGCTGCCATGGACCAATGATATCATCACACGTTTCATCGCTAGCATCGCCGAAGCCAAAATCGCCTAGCAGAAAACTAAGCTTCAAACAATTTCTCTACTGCTAGATGCCATCGCAACTTCTCCTTCTTCATTGTCCTGAGTAACCATGTTGTTGTTGCAAAATCTAACTCAATCTTGCCAAAGATTGAGCCTTGAAGCTGAGTTCACTGCTGAGCGATATTCGTCAATTTGAATTTAAATCCTTGATATTTTGTAAGCTAGGTACTAACGAGATCGAGATGGTGCAAAATATACTAAAAAAAACTTGATTGAAAGAAAAATACACGTTGAGCCCGGTTTCTCATAATGATGCTTTCGAGAAGGAATCATTGAAATTGAGCAAAAAATCATTACTAACTATTATTCATTATCGTTCAACATCTTCTCTTTCATCACAAACCAAATTGAAATAACAACAAAACTCCACACAAAAGAAAAAGTGTATAACACAAATAGATTCTGAAACATCTGAAACAAACTGAAAAACAAAATTAGTCACCAAACACCACACAAACTCACCCAAATCATCGGTTCTTCTGGAACAAGCGGTGACCATCACCAGAAACATGACAGATCCCACGACGAATACGACAACCATCAAAAACGCATAACCGTCGTATCCAGCAAGTTTGAATGGTTGGGGTGGTGGAGGCTGAGGTGGTGGTGCAGGACAGCTGTCTTCACAATCCACACAGTTGCATGCTGGTGTGTTCGCCTGAAGATGATAAAAATTGGTATAATAATACTAATAATAATAATAATAATTCATTCACAAAAATGATAGTATAGGGGTGAATAAAGAATATACCACAAAGCAGTGGACTGCTTGTTTGTGGACGCATTCAGTGGCTCTTATAAAGCTAACATAAATTTGTATTTACTAAATAAATAGGAGAAAAAAAGTGAGATATAATATATAAAATATGGATAAAGTAATATAGGGTGGCTACGGAAGTATTGCCTACGGAATATCTCAGTTATTGTATGAAGTAAGTTTGTGAAATTTGGAGCGTCGATATAATTACATAAGAGCTAGAATTTGAGCATATTGACATGTCGAAGTTAACTTCCGGTCTGACCGGAAGTAACATCAACTTTCTTATTTTGAATGGAAACCCTATTTTTTTTTTCGCTACATTCATCATTCAATCCCCTTTCTAATGACATATCACAAGTTGGTACCTACCCAGAAACTAGATCAGAAAAAAATTATTATTGAAATTCACCGAGTAGGCCGTGGAAGCAAAATGAGAACCAAAAAATGACTTTCTATTATATCATTAGAAAGGAATGGTTATGCTGAATAGTACAGGCAAGAAAAAGTTGTGTGTTCCTATTTAAGTTATGGACCTACAGAGTATTGTTTTTTTCCCAATTTTTCCAATATATTTTTTGGCGGCTTTTTATAACGCCGACGAATGAAAATAAAATATCACAGTAGTAGCAACTGTTATCAAGTGACGTATGGTTTCCATAGCCAACTTTTCAATTTTTGGCTTTCATCCTGCTTCCACGGCCTACTCGGTGAATTTCAATAATAATTTTTTTCTGATCTAGTTTCTGGTTAGATACCAACTTGTGATATGTCATTAGAAAGGGAATTGAATGCTGAATAAAGCGAGAAGAAAAATAAATAGGGTTTCCATTCAAAATAAGAAAGTTGATGTTACTTCCGGTCAGATCGGAAGTTAACTTCGACATGTCAATATGCTCAAATTCTAGCTCTTATGTCAATATATCGACGCTCCAAATTTCACAAACCTACTTCATACAATAACTGAGATATTCCGTAGGCAATACTTCCGTAGCCACCCGGTATATATATATATATATATATATACCGGGTGGCTACGGAAGTATTGCCTACGGAATATCTCAGTTATTGTATGAAGTAGGTTTGTGAAATTTGGAGCGTCGATATATTGACATAAGAGCTAGAATTTGAGCACATTGACATGTCGAAGTTAACTTCCGGTTTGACCGGAAGTAACATCAACTTTCTTGTTTCAAATGGAAACCCTATTTTTTTTTCTTTTCGCTTTATTCAGCATTCAATTCCCTTTCTAATGACATATCACAAGTTGGTATCTAACCAGAAACTAGATCAGAAAAAAGAAAAAAAATATTATTGAAATTCACCGAGCAGGCCGTGGAAGCAAAATGAAAGCCAAAAAATGACTTCCTATTATATCATTAGAAAGGAATGATTATACTGAATAGTACAGGCAAGAAAAAGTTGTATGTTCCTATTTAAGTTATGGACCTACAGAGTATTGTTTTTTTCCCAATTTTTCCAATATTTTTTTTGGCGGCTTTTCATAACGCCGACGAATGAAAATGAAGTATCAAAGTAGTAGCAACTGTTATCAAGTGACGTATGGTTTTCATAGCCAACTTTTCAATTTTTGACTTTCATTTTGCTTCCACGGCCTTCTCGGTGAATTTCAATAATATTTTTTTTCTGATCTAGTTTCTGGTTAGATACCAACTTGTGATATGTCATTAGAAAGGGAATTGAATGCTGAATGAAGCGAAAAGAAAAAAAATAGGGTTTCTATTTGAAATAAGAAAGTTGATGTTACTTCCGGCCAGACCGGAAGTTAACTTCGACATGTCAATATGCTCAAATTCTAGCTCTTATGTCATTATAACGACGCTCAAAATTTCACAAACCTACTTCATACAATAACTGAGATATTCCGTAGGCAATACTTCCGTAGCCACCCGGTATATATATATAAAATATATGTGATACACTGATATAGGACGAAGATACAACTTTATAAAGTTTCATGTAAAGATAAAATACAATGGTTAAAAAATTATGATTAATTGAACATGTTAACTTATATACTGCTTATACTTATTAATTTGAGGTCTACTTGTTCTATAAGCTAAGACATATACAATTTTTGAAAATTTAAGTGTTGAAAAGTAACGTGCATAGATGTTAACAATGTCTTAAATATGTAAAAAGTGTATATATGTGCAAAATGTCTATGTAGGTGTGTAATCATATTCGAATATTATTATTCTTGTTATTACATATCTATATCTATAACTTCATGAATTTTTTGCCGCGGATTTCCGAGGACATATTTTTTTATTTGTGCTTTTCTAAGGGGTTTCTGGTATTGCGTTGAAAACCTTTGGTCCTAGGTAACTGTAAGTTCTCTGGCATATCGATTTGTGAACAAATGGAATTTGGTAAAGGTAACGACCTCTGGTATTTTGTTCATAATATTTTCTAAGCAGTTCTTGTATATTTATGAATTGATTTGTTGCCAGACTTAAGAAGTATTGTTGTTTAATGTCAAATATTTTTGTTTTGAGATATAGAAGTTCTGTGGGATAGCGTGGTGGCTCTTCATATAATATTTTTAAAATTCGTTTCTGAATGACTTCGATTTTCTTTAGGTGGACATTCTTTGCTGCTCCATATCCGATGATTCCGTATGTCTAATGGGGTTCGAAGAGTGTGTGATATAACATTCTTAATTGATTTTCTCCGAATATTCTTGAGAGTTGTTTTATCTTATATACCACAGATCTTAGTTTCTTTAGGAGAAAGGTAATTTGCGAGGTAATTTGCTCGTCCCATTTTATGTGGCTACCTGTTTCTATCCCTAAGTATTTTATCGAGTTGGAAGAATTCATGTAAAAGTTATCTTGGAGACTAATTCTATTGTAATTCGGAAGTTGCGATAGTTCGCTGCAGATAGGCACGAAGAAGGTTTTCTGTACATTAACCCATTACCTCCCACTGTACTCATTTGAGTACACTGCAAATTATGGTCAACTATCTACATCTATTGAAATTTTTCAACAAAATAATATCGTGGTAATTTTGTTCTGCAATGTACCAAAAACTCGTAATTTCGAAATGTACTCACAAATGGCGTAAATGTCGAGCATGTTAACTAAAGAGATGAACAATCAAACCCTTGTGCCTGACAAAAAAATAACCATAAATTTTCTAACCGAGGTCGACATAAAAATGAGTATAGAAATTCTTCTGCTTTCTGGCAATTACCCCCGAGAACCCATCTACTGGAGCGTTGACAGTAAAGTTTGGGCACCATTCGTTGCTTCCAGTATGTCTAGAAATAAATTCCAAGAAATAAAGAGGTACATGCACTTCTCTGACAATATCTAACTGGATTGTGATGCAATTTTGAAATTTTAAAAACTTTTTTGTAGTATTCAAGATTTTTAGTTATTTTCCTCGTTATTTTGTTTGAAGAAATTTGAAGAATTTCAGTGTTACAAACACCGCACCAGACATTTACACTTCTCCGGCCCTGCTTTTTGATTGGTTTTACTGCTCTAGGATTCTCAGTAGCCCAGCTATGTTCATTTTTACGATGTTGAAAATGAATACTCATCTGTGAATATAATGTTCCTAGTGAAATTTGCATCACGATTATGTCTTTCAATAATATAACGACAAAACTGTAAACGGTTTAGATGACCTTGTGGAAATAAATAATGCACTGGCAATACTTTATACGGCTTCATATGGTTATTCCTTGAAACTCTTCTGATACTTGTGATGGATATGTTAAAATAACTCGCAGCCATTCTAGTTGAACGATTTGGATCTTCAATAACATAAAGGAGTATATTTTCCTCTGTCCCTTCTACAAGGATCTTTTTCTGTCGACTCCTCTTCAAATCTTTCAAATTTCCTCTATTTCGTCTGAACTTCTCGAATATCCCCTTGAAGGTATTCCGAGAAGGTAGTGGACGCTCTCCAAACAGAAGCGCATATTCTCTACAAGCAGCGGTTGCATTTTTCCCACAAACATGTATACAGGGTGTTTCATAATTGAATGCTGATCCTAAAGGGCGATGATCCTTGGATGATTTTAAGGAGAGAAGTTCATATCAACATATGTCCCGAACCTCTTAGTTTTTGAGTTACAGGGTGTTGAAATCAGAAGCGTACAGCGTTTTTTTAAACTAAACATTCGATATCAGGTCTACGAGGATATCACTGGTTAAAGTAAAAGTTTGATTTTTTTCCCAATACAAAATGTGTTTCCACTCATAGTGGGTGTCTACTGAATTACCAAAAACAATATCCAAGAACTGAAGGAACAAAATTCTTTGGTTTTTATTTTTTTACGCGAAAACGGTACGTTGTATGAAAGTAAGTCTAGGAACCAAATTTGCTCCAAAATGAATGATAATTGAAAAAAAAATCTGGTTCTCAGAAAAATCAGTGGCGTACTATTTTTTCTTCAAAAATTGTCAGTTCAAACCCCGTACGGACGCCACTGGTGAGAATTTTTAAATATCTTTCACGTAAAATAATGCTCCTTAATAATGAGAAGGTGTATAAAAAATATCATAACAATATCTAAGAGTGATAAAAAATTATGATGAAAAACTCATTTTTTTCTTGAAATTTCATCACCCTGTAGCTCAATAACTAAGAGGTTTAGGACATATGTTGATATGAACTTTTCTCTTTGAAATCATCCAAGGATTATCGCCCTCAAGGATCAGCATTCAATTATGAAACACCCTGTATATCTAAGATATCACATCTTTCATTCAAACTGTAGCCCATTTTTATTCACTCGGAACGTTTTGAATTTCAAAAAAAAACTAATATATGGACATCTCCATGGAGCATAAATATTGTTATTGACATTTTTTCAAATCCCACCAAGTTCACATACATGATGTGATATGAGTATTTTCGTCAAC